CAATCCTCGGTGGATGGACATTTGGGTTGCTTCCACAATTTAGCAATTACAAACTGTGCTGCTATGAACATAGGTGCACATATATCATTGTGATATGATGTTTTTAGATCTTCTGGGAAAATACACAGAATGGGAATAGCTGGGTTGAATGGGACCTCCAGTCCTAGTTTTCTGAGGAATCTCTAAACGGATTTCCACAGTGGTTTCACCAGTCTGCATTCCCACCAGCAGTGGAGAAGAGTTCCTATTTCTCCACAGCCTCACCAGCATTTTTTATTGGTTGATTTCTTAATGCTAGTCATTCTTACTGGGGTAAGGTGGAATCTCAGTGTTGTTTTAATTTGCATTTCTCAAATGACTAATGATGTTGAACATTTTCTCATGTGTTTATTTTCCATTTGTACTTCTTTATCTGAGAAGTGTGTATTCATCTCAGCTGCTCATTTCTGGGTTGGGTCTCTGAATTTGGGGGGCATGATATTTTTTAACTCTTTATATGTTCTGGATAGAAACCCTTTGTCTGAGGGACAGTCAGCTAAAATATTTTCTAAGTTTGTAAGTTTTCTTTTTACCCTGCTGGTGATTTCTTTAAATGTGCAGACATTTTTCAGTAGGGTGACATCATAATTGGTGATTCTTTGAAGTGTTTCATATGCAGTTTGGTTTTTGTTCATGAACTCTCTGCCCACCCCTATGTCTTCAAGGTTTTTATTGACTTTCTCTTCCAAAAAATTTAGTGTTTCTGCTTTAATATTGAGATCTGTGATTCATTTGGACTTGAGTTTGGTGCTTAGTGATAGACTTGGGTCTACTTCAGTCTTTTGCAGATGGCAAGCCAATTACTCCAGCACCACTTATTAAAGAGGATATTGTTCCTCCAGTGAGTTCGTTTGCACCATTTATCAAAGATGAGGTGGCTGAGTGTATTTTTGGTTCTGGCTATTTCTTCCAGTCTGTTCCATCGATCTTCAGATCTCTTTTTCAGCCAGTATCAGGTTGACTTTATTACAGTAGCTTTGTACTATAATTTCAGGTCAGGGATTGTGATTCCACCTGACTTGTCCTTGTTGCCCAGGATTGCTGTTGCTATTCTGGGTCTCTTCTGGTTCCAGATGAATTTAAGGCATGTTTTCTCAAGATCTCTGAGAGATGCTAATGGTAGTTGAACGGCAATTGCATTGAATCTGTACAGCAGTTTTGGGAGGATGGCCATTTTCACAATGTTGGTTCTTCCTATCCATGAGCAAGGAATGATTTCCCATTTACTGAAATCTTCTTCGATGTCTTTTTTCAGAGTACTGTAATTTTATTGAAGAGATCTTTGACCTTTTTTGTTAGATGTATTCCTAAATATTTCAATTTCTTGGGTGTTATTGTGAAAGATATGGTTTCCTTAATTTCTCTATAAGTCTGTTTATTCTTTGTGTATAGGAATGCTATCGATTTCTGGGTGTTGACTTTGTATCCAGCTACACTGCTGAATTTGTTGATTAATTCAAGGAGTCTTCTAGTGGAGTTTTTGGAGTCTTCCATGTAAAGTATCATGTCATCTGCAAATAGTGATACTTTTACTTCTTCCACTCCTATCCTTGTTCCTTTTGTTTCTCTCTCTGGTCTAATTGGTCTGGTTAATGGTTTTCAGAATTATATTGAACAGGAGTGGTGACAGTGGACATTCTTGTGTTGTTCCCATTTAAAAGTAAAAGCTTTCAGTTTTTATCCGTTGAGAATGATGTTGGCTGTTGGATTGTCATGGATGGCTTCGATCAGGTTAAGGTAAAGACCATCTATTCCAATTTTCTGTAGAGTTTTTATCATGAATGCATGTTGGACCTTGTCAAAAGCTTTTTCTGCATCTATTGAGATGATCATATTGTTTCTATCTTTGGCTTCATTGATATGGCATATAACATTTACATCTTTATGAATATTGAATCAACCCTGCAGTCCTGGAATGAATCCGACTTCATCGTGATGTATGATATTCTTCATGATTTGCTGCATTCTATTTGTTAGTATTTTATTGAGTATCTTTTCATCTATATTCATTAGGAAGATTAGTCTGTAGTTCCCTGTCTTGGTTGGGTCTTTCTCTGGTTTTGGTATCAGTATGATGCTTGCCTCAGAAATGAGTTAGGGAGAATTGCTTCCTTTTCAATTTCATTGAAGAGTTTGAGGAGGGTTGGTATTAAATCTTCTCTGAATTTCTTTTAAAATCCTGCTGTGAATCCATCAAGGCCTGGGCTTTTTTCTGTCGGTGGGTTTTTAGTCATGATTTCAATCTCATTAATTGATATTGGGTTTTTCAGGAATTTTGCATCTTCTTGAGTCAACCTTGGTAATTCATACATATCTAGGAATCTGTCCATTTCTTCTGAGTTTTCTGTCCTATGGGAGTAAAGATTTTCAAAGTAGGTATTAATGATCATCTCAATTTCTGTGGAATGTGTAGTAATTTCATCCTTTTCATTCCTTATTGCATGAATCTGAGTTCTTTCCCTTTTTTGATAAGGTTGGTGAGGGGTTTATCAATTAGATTTATTTGTTCAAAGAATAACTCTGATTCATTTATTTTTTGGAGGGTTTTCTTTGTCTCCATTGCATTAATTTCTGCCCTAATATTTATAATCTCCTCCCTTCTTTGGGCTTTGGACTTGGCTTGTTGTTCGTTTTCTAACCATTTAACATGCAGCCTTAGGCTATTTATTTGTTCTCTTTCTGTTTTCCTTATATGTGAATTCATGGCTATAAATTTCCCTCTGAAGACAGCTTTCATTGCATCCCATAGATTCCGGTAAGTTGTATTTACATTTTCATTTGTTTGTAGGTATTTTTTATTTCATCTTTAATTTCTTCTAAACAACACGTTGGTTGTTCGGGAGATTGTTGTTCAATTTCCAAGTGTTTATGGAGTTTTGGAGTTCCTTCTGTCATTAATTTCAAATTTCATTGAACTGTGGTCAGTTAATATGCATGGAATAATTTCAGTTGTTTTACATTTTGATAGGTGTGCTCCATGGGTTAGAATGTGGTCTATTTTAGAGAAAGACCCATGTACAGCTGAGAAAAATGTGTATTCTGATGTTGTGGGGTGGAATACTCTGTAGATATCTACTAACTCCATTTCTTCACAGCTTTGGTTCAGATCACTAATTTCATTGCTGACTTTTTCTCCAGTGAACCATCTCTTTGTGTCAATGGGTTCTTGAGGTCACCTGTTACAATAGCGTTACTAATTATATGGGTTTTATGCCTGTTAAGATTTG